ATAGATAGATAGATAGATAGATAGATAGATAGATAGATAGATAGATAGAGATAGATAGATAGATAGATAGATAGATAGATAGATAGACAGAAAATAGATAAGCGATAGATAGATGGTAGACATATGATAGATAGATCATAGATACATTGACAGAAAATAGATAGATAAGCGATAGGTAGATGGTAGATAGATAATAGATACATAGACAGAAAATAGATAGATAGATTGATACATAGACAGACAAATAAATTTAAAGCCCAGGGTGTTCACCCTGGCCCCCAAATCAATTTAATCCCGATGCAGCATTTATTTATTTTATTTATTTATTTGTCAGGCGATTATAAGATAACAGGTATAAGTATAACATAGTTATGAATACACGAAATGGATACATATAAGAAAAATAAAAGAAACAATAGGACAGGGACAGTAGGCACGTTGGTGCGCTTATGCACGCCCCCTACAGACCTCTCAGGAAAGGGGTGAGGTCAATAGTGTAAGGTTAAAGTTTTTGGGGTTTGGGGAAGAAAACACAGAGTCAGGTAGAGTATTCCAGACATTGACCACTCTGTTGCTGAAGTCATATTTCCTGCAATCAAGTTTGGTGCGATTAACCTTGAGTTTGTATCTATTGTGTGCTCTTGTGTTGTTATGGTTGAAGCTGAAGTATTCTTTGACAGGTAAATCATTGCAATGTATGATTTTATATACCATACTTAGATCAGACCGAAGACGGTGTCATTCAAGGTTTTCTAGATCTAGAATTTCAAGTCTGGTGGCATAACGTATTCTGCAACGAGTAGAGGAGTGGAGAACTCTTCTTGTGAAATATTTCTGGACTTTCTCAACTGTGTTAATATCAGATACGTAATGTGGGTTCCAGACTGATGAGCTGTATTCGAGTATTGTTTTGTATGCCCTAGTTAGTAGTGTGATATTACCAGAGAAAAAGCTACATAGGATTAGGTTAACAACTCTTAACAACTTTTTAGCTATGTAGTTACAGTGGGCTCTAGCACTTAGATCATTAGAGATGAGTACTCCAAGATCCTTGACAGAGTCTGGATCATCAACAAAGTCTTGACTATTCAGCCTGTATTTTATTTTCTATTTTTTTTTTTTTTTTTGCCAATATGTAAGACAGAGCATTTGTTTGTTGAGATTTGAAGTTGCCATTTGATTGACCATTCTGATACACAGTCGAGGTCCTTGGGAAGCTGGTTGCCTCGCCCGACCTTAAGGGGGCCTTAAGCACACGAGTGGTTTTGTTTTACTTCTTCCATTTCATAGAAAAATAAAAAGAGGGACGCTCCCCCCACCAACCCCCTCCCCCAAAGCCCTCTCAGGAGAGAAAAGGCGCAGCAACCCGCGCCGTGCTCAGCATCGTCCGGACTGCCGCAAAAGAAGCCGCAATCGCCCCCAGAACCAGCCCCGCCGGCGCGGCCTCCACCTGTCCTCGCCCGACCCGGCTTTGCCATTCCGCGGAGGCCAAGGCGGAGCTCGGCGCGGCTCCTCCTCGGGGCCGGCCTGGCAAAGGCTTCTTCTTCTACTTCCGTGGCTCGGGCAGCCGTGAGCAGAGCCAACCCGGAGGAGAATGGCATCCCGCTCGGCGTCCGCCGCTCGGTCTCAAAACCCGGCCACCTACTTCCGAAGGAGCCGGCCGTTTTTCATGGCGGTGATCGCGGCCTTGATGCTCTACTACGGGGTAAGGAGGGGAAACAGAGAGAGAGAGAGAGGGAGGGAGAGAGAGAGAGAGAGAAAGAGAAAGAGAAAAAAGAAAGAGAGACAGAGAGATAGAAAGAGAGAGAAAGAGAGAAAAGAGAGACAGAGAGAGGGAGAGATAGAAAGAGAAAAGAGAGA